ATAAAAGACTGTTTGATCTATTCTGTGGTGGTAGTGGTGGTTATGTACCGTGGAGCTGGTTCCGACTCATAGAGATTCTGTATAGGGTTTCAGAGGCTGTACATCTTTATGGGAGCAGAAAGCCTTATCTTTCTCTTGCAGAAACTGCTGGTAGTTTTGAGGTGCGCAGCCCAATTTATAACCACTACGCTACCAGAGCTCCTTTGATCTACTTTGTATGTAGGGTTTAAAAACAAAAAAGTCCCAAATAATTCTGAAGCTAGAAAAGGAAAACAAAGAAAATAAGCACATTACAAGAAAAAATCTTCCCTGCTATTTTTTTGAGACTATCTCCTAACAGCATCTGCCCATGTCTGTTTGTCTGTCTGTTCCTGCCTTACCTCCCATAACCTCTGATTCCTTATGTGATTTAGGATTCCCCGGGGGAGTTTGGGTGGAATCCTCAGTGTTCCAGAGAAGGAGAAATAACCCACCCCATGGAAAGCTCTGCCTTGGGCCTTTGTACCTGACCTCTCAGTGGCTCACTTTCACACTTTCACTTGGGGTGGCTTGCTTGTAGTGGTGAACAGAGGGGGGCAGGTGGGAGGGAGGAAATGGGAATGCTGCCCAGGTGTGAGCAATCAGCCTCCTGGGATGGACTCTCCACTGGAGGGAGGGCCTGTCCCCAGAGCCGTGGAGGCGAGCTCTGCGCTGCCCAGAGTCCTTATCTCTGTTGTTTTCTGTCCATGCTGCTGCCCCAGAGAGAAGGACTTGGAGCTAATGCCTTGTTAGGTGCTGAGAAGGCAGATTCCCAGTCTCTGCTGAGTCCTGGTTGTGGGTCCTCTGGGAAGCAATGTTTTCCCCATGCTAACACTGAGATAATGATACCAACTCATGGGCTTGTCTCAAGGGTTAGATAAGGTGTAAAAAGCACTGGCACTTGTCCTACTGCCCACAAACAGGCACCCAGTATGAAGTTACTGCCTTTCTATGCATTCTTTCAGATCTCCACTGAGCCTTCTCTCCTCCCCAAGGCTGGGCTGCCCCAGTCTCTCCTCTGAGTGGTGTTGAACGTGGGGTTCCTGGCATCAGCTTGCCAACCTCTGACACTTTCACTCAGGAATTCTCTGAACACTTAATGCAAATACACCTCTTGGAGGAGTCCTGATTTCCCAGAGGCCCCAGATGAGTATGCACAATATGTCTCTATGAGATCTCCCAGACATCACTTCTTAGGCCTGGCACTGAGGTGGAAGGGGAAAGGGCAGGAAGGACTTAAGAGTTCACCCCCAGAGGGAGAAGACAGACTCCATTTCACTTAGTCAACAGCATTCTAATTTCCCTCTCGTGTCTTTTGTACTACTGAGACTGGAAAGGTAAAAACATTTCCCAGATGGAGGGGCATGGGTTTTGGGGGGATGCAGGGTTCTGGGAGCACAGGAGTTTGGGGATAGTCTAGTTTCAAAATCACCCCATCACTTCCTGTAGCCCGAGGTGCTCTGCATTAGCCAATCAGATCCCTCCTACCACATCCTTGCTCATGCACCTCATTCTAGAATCCAAAACATGCCAATGCCCAGTGTTGCTCTTGCGTTCTCCCCACCTCCAAACTGTAGATGAAGAGCCACCTGGTACACCACGTCTAACCTCCTTCCCTCTGCAGGTGAGGGTCATGAAGAATGGACCCTTGGGTACCAGGTGAGACCGGGAAGTGTCCAGATAGGCCCAGGATGTCTGTTCCAAGGATGCTGCACTGCAAATCGGCAGGAACACCAATGATGTTGTTGTTAGGTGCCATCGAGTCGGTTCCAACTCAGTGACTCCATGCACAACAGAATGAAACACTCCCAGGTCCTGTGCCATGCTCACAACTGTTGTTACTCTTTAGCCCATTGCTGCTGCCACGGTGCCAATCACCAATGGCGATTCCATTTACAGCATATACACCTGTGTCTAGATGCAGGCTTTTGCCTGTCTCCTCACCAGACTGCCTCCCCATCAGTCAGCAGTGGGATGGACCTTCTTCCACACAGCAGGTGTGGGCACCTTTTTGGCCTGGTGGTAGAGGTGGTAGCAGCTGTTGAGTCAACCCTGTGCCAAATGGAATAGAATGCTGCCCTGCCCTGAGCCATCCGCATGATTGGTTGGGAATGGGACCATTGTGAACCATAGGGTTTTCATTGGCTGGTTTTGGAAGTAGATCACCAGGCCTCTTCCGAGTTTGTTTTAATCTGGAAGCTGTGTGTGTTCAGCCTCATAGCAACACATGAGCCTCCACTGACAGATAAATGGTGGCTGCACATAAATGCATTGGTTGGGAATTGAACCCAGGTCTCCTGTGCGGGAAGGTGAGAGTGTTACCATTGCACCTGTGTTAGCCGCCATTGAGGGGACCCTCAACTCACAATGACCCTGCATACTGGAATGAAAGCCTGCCGGGTTCTGCCCCATCCCCACTCTCAGTTGTAGATCCACCACCGTGATGTTGTTCCGACTCGACTCACAGCGACCCTCTATAGGGTTTCCAAGGAGCAGCCGGTGAGTTTGAACCACCAACCTGTGACTTTAAAGTTGAGCGCTTATCCTACAGCACCACATCAGGGCTCCCCAATTGTGATAGATGGGTCTATATGTCTCACAGGGCACAAGATAAATTTCTTATGATCAGAGCCAGCTCAGAGGTTCAGAAAACCCACACAGCTCCAAGTAGATGGCTGAAGGAAGAGGCAGGGCCTCTCTAAGCGCAGTGCACATTATAGAGTACCAAGTCATATGAGATTGGTATTATTATCCCCATTTCCCAGATGGGAAAACTGACAGCTAGAAAGGACAAGTCGTTTTTTCTACCCCCTAAAGCCACACAGTGGTGGAACCTGAATTCAAACCCAGGTTCTTCCAATTGCCCATGCCACTGGCTGTTCCCATGACCATCAGCACACCCTTCTCCAAGCAAAGATGGATAGTCGTCACCAGGCAGCAAGTTTCAGACAGAGTTGTGATGTAAGCACTGGCTTAGAACTCAGTTCTAATTCAAGATCCATCACTTTATCAGGATGGGACCCAGGACTGTAAACAAGTTACAGCCTCTCTCTGAACCTTGTCTTTCCTCCTCTGTAAAATGGGTACAATGCCATCTACCTGATAGGGTTACTTTGTGGATTAGCCATGTTCACATTCATGTATGTACACTGCCTGGGATAAAATAAGTAGACTTTCGTGTTTGCCAAAATGAAGAGAACTGATTTACTGCCTATAATTTTAATTTAATACAAATTCATTATAACTCACAAAATGGATAACATTTTAAATAAAAATACTGTTGAGAGTGGCCCAGAGATTGGGTAAAGGGATGGGGTGAGGATTCCTCCCTCCTGCCCAGGAGAGGCCCTAGTGGACAGCAGTTAGGAGGTGGACGCTCCCCCCAGGGTCAGCTATTCTCTTGGCGTGGATGTGGTCAGAGACCCCCAAGTGCAGAATAGGCTCCAGGACTAGAAAGGAAGGCTAAGGTTGAGGAGACATTTCAGCTTGAAACAGAATTCCTCAGGTTCCCACCCATGGGCAGGGACAGAGCCACAGAACAGAACATCTTGAAGCTCTGTGGCTCCAAAGCCATAGCCTAGAGGTGAATTCCAGTCACTGCTGGGTTTTCAGGGTTGGAAGCTGCAACCAAAACCAAGGATGAGCTTCCTCAAAATCCATTCTAACTTCTTTTAGTGTGGAGAGATTTAAAAATGACATTTATCAGACTCCCTTGCAGCTAAGGTTCTGGCTCTGACTTCAGTTTCTCCAAACAGAATCCCTGGCAAAGATCTGGATTTGGGAGCTGAGTTCAGTGGGAGAGAGGTAGGCCTCAGGACATTTGTGGGTGTGGATAGGGGCAACAGCAGCATAGTTCTGCAGCTAGTGGCTTCCTGGGGCAGTGACTTCCTACAGATGGAAGCAGCTTTCCTGGTCATAAGAGAGACATGATGAGTCTGGGGGCTGGGCATTGTTGCTGGAAAGTCACCAAACAGCCTACTCATCCTGCCCTCTCAGGGACCTGGTAATAAATCCTTTGTTTAAACTAGCTAATGGGTTCCTGTTATCTGCAACATAATCTTAGCTGAAACATATGCCACGTCTGAGGAGGGGGTCCCAGCTAACAGCCCCGCCCAGTGCTCAAGTCTGGACTAAAAGAACTGCTCTAGCAGTTGCCTCATGCCTTAGTCCTGGCCACAGAGGCCCGGATGGTTAGGGCTGTCTGGACCATTGTTGTTGAGAGGTACTAGGGACCTTGATCATCCAGTGATGGTTGTCCTGAGCACACCTTTGGGTCAATGGGCTGTGTGTCAGTTTCAGGGTGCCCTCAACCTGTCTTTAGGCCTGTGGGCAGGAAGGTGGTGGCACAGTAACTATCACATGTGCCCAGCTACTGGGTACCTTCTGTAGGTCAGCCTCTCATAGCATCATCTCTGACCTACAGATCAGTGGGAAAAGCAGGAACAACATAGCTCACAGTATGGGGATGGCAGGGAAGGGTAGTTCTCAGAAAGCCCTAGAACAACAACTGTGGGCTGGGGTCAGGGTCAAATGGCTCATCACCAGCTTGGTCTGGGACAAGTCTTAGGCCATGGAACATAGAAGGGTTCTATGTACCTTCAGAGCTGCTGACTGCTGGCAACACCTTGACCTACCCTGAGTCCAGCGTATCTGGGTAGGAGGGAGACAGAGCGAGGTAGCTCCCTGCCCCTGAGAGTATAGTGATGTGGGTTGGGCAGAGGTTGACCACAAGAGAAGGCAAGTCACACCCTTGGACCAAAGACTGTGTCCCCATTAAGGTCAGAGTTACAGTGCTGGAAGAGAGCTTAGGAAGCGTGGAGTAAAACCTCCAATTTATGGACAGGGAAATGAGGCTGAGGGGTAAACTGGTCTGAGAGCTCAGTGAGGCAAGCCAGGCTGGAGTCCAGGCCTTCTGTGTCCTGGGCAGGGCTCTAGCTGGTGTGACCATGGCCCTGCGAAGCTGTGGTCTAGCTCGGGCCACACTAGATGCGGATGGTATTGATGCGCAGCGGCTGCACATTTTTGCCATTGGCGTGACTCTGGCCAGGGCTGAAGTAGGAGCAGAGCTTGCCCGGGAACTTCTCGCGGAAGGTGTAGAGCCAAGACATGTCATCGGCATTGTAGAAGATGAGCAGGCCTTGGTCGTAGTCCAGGAAGACGCCCACCTTGTCGAGCTTGTCGCGGACGTTGAGCCGTGTCCAGGGCTCCGTGCAGGCGCTGTACTGATTGCCATCATGCATGACGATGCAATAGAAGCCGCGGCTGGGCTGGATCTGTATGCTGCCCTTGCGGCTTGCAGCCTCATGGGCCAGCCCAATCACCCACTGGGTCTTCTCAGCCACCACCACCTCCCAGTAGTGGACGCCACTGCTAAAGGCCTCAGAGCCCAGCACTGACACTTCAACGTCGAAGCGCTTTGGTGAGTCCTGCAGCGGCTGTGGGTGCAAGTTGCCGTATGCCACGATGGTACAGTCATCAGACAGGATCAGGCGCTGGTGGGCTGTGCCTGGGTCCAGGGTCAGGGCGGCTGGCACTGTGGGGGTTGGGAGAGATGATCAGTACAGATAAAGCAGTGGGCCCACTATGTAGTAGTGGGCACAGTTCTGGTTCTCAGGAGAAAGTGACCTGCTGTGTGACCCTGAACCCAACCCTGCCCTCCACGTGGAAGGGTGAGGTCCTTCCAGATGTCACTTGACCCTAGGAAGCAGGGGCTATGGGTGCTTGTTCATAGCCCTGTCTTCCAACCAATCTCCCACTTCCCACCTTCCACTTGGGTCCAATGCCTTGGCTCATGCTATTCCCTCCCATTGCTTCTCTGCTTGTTGTAATGTCTCCCACAAAGCTCAGTTCAAATAGTCCCCTTCCTTGTGACCCAGCAGGTGGATAGACTCTGTCTTTGAAACTTCTTCACTTTGCCTGTGTTCCTCTCCTAATATGGGGTGTAGTCTTCTGAGTACCCTTATTTGTACCAAAAGGGCAAGAACCATGTGTTGTCCAGTTGGATTCTCCCTTGTGTGCCCAGTGCCTGGCAGAGTATGCGGCACAGGACAGATGACTGGAAAGTCTTGCCAAATTCAGTTGAGCCCATTTGTTTTACTCTTTGGGCAAGAAACACAGGCTGGATCACCTGGCTCTGGGCTGGCCACACCGGCTTAGCAGGTCTGGTTCCCAAAGTCTCATGAACCATTGTCACTGTCTCTGTTTACTCTTTGCCCCATGAGATTGCTGATGACCAGCCAGAAGGAGAAGGCAGGCCCTGGGTTGGTTTTTGTTAGCCTGGCTAACCATTTCCAGGCTTAGAGTCTTACAGAGTCACACCAGAACTGCAGAGAATTACCCCATATTTCAATCACTTCTGTTGACTGTGTACATACACAGACACAAAATGGATCCTACCGGGAACAAGAGCCAGACCCTAACCTGGGAGCCTGATCATACATCCCTTAGCAAAGCTGACTTACAGCAGGCTCCTTTCATGATTGTCAGGAATCAATTTAGTTTTGCATTTGACACTCCTCTTTCCTGTTCTTAGCACTTGAAGGGCTGTGGGGAAACAATCAGCCAGTGACTAGAGGGGGTCAATGGAAACAAAGTTCTCTGTTCAGGGACACAGATGACGGGGAACCACTAGAAGAAAGATACTAGGGTAGTGTCTTTCTCAAAATGAGGAGAAACAGCTGTAAACATCCACTGATAGTGTGAACACGGAATGTACGAAGTATGAATCTAGGAAAATTAGAAGTTGTCAAAAATGAAATGGAACACATAAACATTGATATCCTAGGCATTAGTGAGCTGAAATGAACTGGTATTGGCCATTCTGAATCTGACAATTGCATGGTTTACTATGCTGAGAATGACAAATTGAAGAGGAATGGCATCACATTCATCATCAAAAAGAAACATTTCAAGATCTATCTTGAAGTACAATGCTGTCTGTGATAGTATATCCACATGCCTAAAAGGACGACAAGTTAATACAACTATTACTCAAATTACACATCAACCATTAAAGCCAGTGATGATGACACTGAAGAGTTGTATCAATTTCTTCATTCTGAAATTGATCAAACATGCAATCAAGATGTATTGATAATTACTGGTGATTGGAATGCAAAGGTTGTAAAAATAAAAGATGAAGGATCGGTAGTTGGAAACTATGGCCTTGGTGATAGAAACAGTGTTGGAGATCGCATGACAGAATTTTAAAAGACCAATGACTTCTTCATAGCAAGTACCTTTTAAAACAACATAAAAGATGATTGATTATACACATGAAAATCACCAGATGGAATACACAGAAATCAAACTGATTACATTTATGGAAAGAGAAGGTGGAAAAGCTCCATATCATCAGCCAAAATTAGGTCAGGAGCAGACTATGGAACAGACCATCAATTGCTCATATGCCAATTCAGGCTGAAGCTGAAGAAAATTAAAACAAGTCCATAAGAGCCAAAATATGACCTTGAACATATCCCACCTGAATTTAAAGATCATCTGAAGGATGGACTTGATGTATTAGACACTAGGAAACGAAGACCAGAAAAGTTGTGGGATGACATCAAGAACATCATACTGGAAGACAGCAAAAGGTCATTAAGAAGACAAGAAAGAAGGAAAATATCAAAATGGATGTCAAAAGAGACTCTGAAACTTGCGCTCTAGCATAGACATGCTAAAGAAAATGGAAGAAATGAGGAGGTAAAAGCTGAATAGAAAATTTCAAAGGTCAGCTTAAGAAGACAAAGTCAAATATTATAATGAAATGTACAAAGACCTGGAGTTAGAAAACCAAAAGGTAAGAACATTTCTCAAGTTGTAAGAACTGAAGGAAAAAATCAAGCATCATCTTGAAATATTGAAGGATTCTAGCCCTGGTGTGTCACTGTAGGATAAGCACTGGAGTGCAAGGTGGTTTGAACCACTCCTTGGAAACTCTATACAAGGTAACTATGAGTCGGGCATAATTAAATGGCACTTAACAAGAAGTGAGCAAAATATCGAATGATGCAGAAGCATCCAAAGTAGATGGAAGGAATACACAGAGTCACTGTATCAAAAAGGAATACTGGATGCTCAACCATTTCAAGAGGTAGCATATGATCAAGAGCCAATGATACTGAAGGTGCACTGAAGTCAGTGGCAAAGAAAAAGGCTTTGGGAATTGATGGAATACAAATTGAAATCTTTTAACAAACAGAGGCAGGACTGGATTAAAAATGGCTGCAACAGTACATTGACAGGGAGCTGCCAGGGGTTCAGGCCAGATTCAGATGAGGATATAGAACAGGGATGTTACTGCTGACACAAGATGAATCATGGCTTAAAGCAGAGAATACTAGAAAGATGTCTACTTGTGCTTTATTGACTATGCAAAAGCTTTTGATTGTGTGGATTATGACAAGCTATGGA